TGTTTTTTATTGTATCTGTTTTGTTATTTTAGTTACTCTTTTATGCAGTTTTAATCTGTCTTGTAGTCTCTTTGCTCTTTTGTTGTTTTGATGTTATGTTCAGCACCTTGGGCTTCTGTAAAGGCAGTGGAAGGTGCTATACAAATAAGATTTGATTGATTGAAATATTATTTCCTCACACTCTCTGCCATAAGTCAGCACTAATGTATGATGGCAGGAGTGGGTGAAGCTGTATTCTTTGAGTAAAACCAATAGTGTCTAAGGCCCAGTCTCAATAATGGGGGGGGGGGGGGGGGGGGGCGTCGACATGGTCGGGACATAGAAGGGGGTGCGCGGCTAAATAAGTTTGGGAACCACTGGTCTAGAGTGTTTCCCTTGGTGTGTGTGGGGCCAGAAACATGCTGGGTAAAGCTGAAGGAGTCCATAAGGCTGGAGAAATTCATGGCAAAGTGACCAGAGGGATCATCAACGTGGATGTTAAAGTCACCAACAATCACCAGTCTGGACAGCTTCACAGTGGAGGATAGAAAGTCACTAAACTCCTGAAGGAAAGAACTGTTTGGACCAAGTGGACGATAAACCACAGCACAGTAGAACGGGTCCTTACGCCCGACTTTAATCAGCTGCAGTTCAAAAGAAGCAAAGTGACCAGAGGTTGTAGAGCTACATGGAAATCTCCCCCTGAGCCTGAGAACAGTGGACTCAGTGGTCTCCTTTAAAAAGCAGCTGAAAACTCACTTGTTCAAGCTGGTTTTTGGTGTGACCTTCATCACCCTCTCCTTATTCTGCTCTCCCTACCTAATCCACTTTCCGCAGTATCCACTGATTTCCCTCTTTCCAATTCACTCTCTCTCTTTCTTTACATTTTTTAGTCACAATTGTCTATTTTTGCTCATTTAAACATATTTTTAGTCATTTTCTAAATTTTTTTATAGTTAAAATTTTTTGTTTTTGCGAAGCGCCTCGTGATTTTTATCTTGAGAGGCGCCATAAAAAGATCTTTTCTTCTTCTACTACTTCTTCTTCAGTCCTGGTTGTGTTCTTAGTGTATTCGTGTTGGATGTTTATCATAGAATCATTTGGACAAAGGGCAAGATGTGGTATTGATTTCACATAGAGATACTTGAATCCTGTTTGTGCATATCTGACAAGGAGGGAGGGTGGGTAGATAGATAATTCCTTGCAGGAAACTGTTTCATTATAGCAGCAACACAGAAGACAAGTATGAATGTGTATATACATAAATTTAAAACACCCTCAAAAGAGTGAACAGTGCTGCTATGGCATGTCACATTTTCCATTCATGTTGGGTGTGCAGTGCCTCCTATCTGGAAAGGACGGTATGGAATGTAGAAACTGTATTCTTACTAAGAGGAACTCTCATAAACAAGGTCTAGTTTTTACAAGTAAAAAACTGTTAAGCTTAGATAGCTAAAATGAAAACATGAGTGGGAAATGTGACGTAATTTGTCCTTGGAAGAATTACATTTAGCTATATCTGAAATGTTCTTTGTGGATAGTAAAAATCTGGAATATTTTTGTAGGGGAAAAATTATTTATAGATCTGGAATAAAGTTGGCCTAATCAGATTTCAGATTTATTGGCCAAGTAAAATTACTTTTACAAGGATTTAGCTTCGGTAGATGTTCGCTGTCTAAAACATACAACAACTACAATAAATGAGAATAAAAATGCATAAATACACATAAGAACATGTAAACCCACACACATGTACATTTACACACACACACATATACATATATGCATACACATACACATACACTGTAACCATAGACTGTAAATACTGTAACAGACGCCGTCTGTTTTGTGGCCACTAGGTGGCCTCATCGTCACTCCCTGCTCTCCTGGCCCTACCTGAGCCAGGTGCAGCTAATTTCAATCAGAAAGCTTCCCTGTTAAAAGCCAGCTCTGTGACTTTCGAGGAGGGAAGCTTTGAAGAGGTCTGGAGTGTGTGCTCCTCTTTTCCCTCCTAGAAACTAGACGTTAAAGTCTTGTTTGTTACCTGTGTGGTATTGAGTGACATCTTCCTCGTAATTTAGAGCTGGTTTTGTGTTGATTAGAAAAATACTCGTTAAAGAGTTCAGCTCACCCTTTTGGTGGAGCTTTTTGTGTTCATCCCATTCCCTCTTTTTTCCCGGTTTAGTCCTGGCGTTTTGTGTTTTTTGATATTATTGTTATTTACCCCAATTGTGGATGGCCTTTGTGTTTTGTGACATTTCTGTTTTTCCTGCATAAAGCAGTGATTTTTAGTTTAATAAACTCCTTTAAGAGAGTGAAACTTGGTTTGGTTTGGTCTCAACCACATTTCTTTACGCTCCCTAAACACCATCATCTCCTAGATGAGCTGGGGGCCGTAACACACACACACACACACACACACACTCATATCCACAAGCAGACTAAGTATAAAAAAGTATAATAAAAGGATGATATAATAATCTACAGATTAAGCAGAGAAATGGCTGAAGGAAATAAACTGTTCTTGTGTCTATATATATATATACATATGTATATATGTGTGTGTGTGTGTGTAAATGTACATGTGTGTGGGTATACATGTGCTTATGTGTTTTTTATGTATTTTTATTCTCATTTATTGTAGTTGTTGTATGTTTTAGAGAGCGAACATCTACCGAAGCTAAATTCCTTGTAAATGTAATTTTACTTGGCCAATAAATCTGAAATCTGAATCTGAAGTCTGGTAGTTTTTGTGTACAGTGATCTATAGCGTCTGCCAGATGGGAGGAGATGGAAGAGAGTAGATGCAGGATGTGTGGCATCTTGGATAATATTCACTGCCTTTTTCCTGGTCCTGCTGATGTACAGTTCCTGGACAGAGGGCAGTTGGGCACTTATGATTTTTCCTGCTGTTTTAATAATACGCTGTAGTCTGCATTTTTCCATTTTTGTGGATGACCCAAACCAGACAGTGATGGATGAGTTATAGAAGTTAAAAAGGCTTGCCACAGTAACAGAAAAACGTGCATGACCACCAGACTAAGATAATGATAAATAACGTAGCAGTAATTTACTCTGTAGACCTACGCTTGTATGTCACCTTTCAGAGAGTCAGTCGAGTGCAAAGCGTTTTAATTTGCAGGCTCATTCACCCATTCACATACAGCAGCTCCCCTGGGCACGCAGCAGCTTCTTTACCAACATAACCCCCTAATTCTTTAAAGTGCCACCGATAACATTAAAGTGTCACCCCAACAGCAGGAATGTGGATCGTTATGTTGATCTTGGCCCTCTTTCTACATACTCAAAACCAGTTGTTACCAGTTTGGGGGTGAAACTTGATGTAGGACTTAAATTTGATGCTCACATCAATTCTGTGATCCGGTCCAGTTTCTTTCACCTGAGACGCCTTGCTAAAATCAAGCATATGCTGTCGAGAGCCCACCTGGAGCGGGTACTGCATGCCTTTGTTATTTCTCGGCTTGATTACTGCAACTCTCTCTACGCAGGGTTGTGTCAGTCAACCCTGCGTCGCCTACAGGTTGTGCAGAACAGCGCTGCCAGGTTCCTGACTGGGACCAGGAAACGGGACCACATCAGTCCAGTTCTGGCCTCCCTGCACTGGCTTCCGATTTGCTATCGCTCACAATTCAAAATACTCGTCTTTGTTTATCATTTCTTCCAGGGTGGTGCTCCCCCCTATCTGGCCACTCTCCTGAACAAACATTCCCCATCACGCGCTCTGCACTCCTCTGATCAAGGCCTGCTCGCTGTCCCTCGGTCTAGGTGTCGTACCCGTGGGGACCGGGCGTACCCGTGGGGACCGGGCTTTCTCAGTCCTAGCACCGTTACTCTGGAACCAGTTGCCTCCCTCAGTTAGGCTGTCCCCTTCTCTGCCAGTCTTTAAGAATCACCTAAAAACACACCTCCTCCGCTTGGCGTTTCCAGAACATGTTTGATTTTGGCCCTCTTTTATGTTGAATCCATTCCACAGTTTTCATTTGTACACTCAATCCATCCACTCAATCCAAATGTGTTTCACACATTTGTCCTTTACCGGACTGTTTCATCTATCTTGTAATTTCCATTTTGTACTTTGTAATTTGTATTTTGTAATTTGAATTTCTTTTATTGTTGATTTATTCAATATATTTACTTAACTGTACCATGTTCAGCGCTTTGGGCTTCCTGACAGGGTTGCGGAAGGCGCTTTATAAATAAAGCTTTGATTGATTGATTGATTGATTGATTAAGCATGGACGACCGAATATAAAATCGTAATCAATTTCCCTCTGGGATTAATAAAGTATTTTTGAATTTGAATTGTGTATCGTTTTTATGCTTTTATAAAAGTTAGAATAGTGAATTTCTGATCAGAACGAAACACAAAACTGCCGTGACCCGGATTCGAACCGGGGTTGCTGCGGCCACAACGCAGAGTACTAACCACTATACGATCACGGCGAGCTATCGTGTCGGGCGGATGCTAACCGCGTAAAAAGAAATTTTTCAACTGACAAATTTTGCACACGTAAACGATGGAATGGGAACTTGTTCAGGGTGTACCCCGCCTGTTTGCTCCAAAACGGCTAGAGAGGGGCAGGTACCCGGGCAAAGAAAATGTAAGGATGTTTTATTTGTTATTTAAACGGCGTGTGCCTACATTTAATTAGACAACAGCCTTTGCCACCGCATAAAAGGCAACGTGCTTACTGAGAATACCGTAAAAAACTCAAGAGACGCAACTCGTCTCCAGATAACTGGGAACTAATTTCAGGTAAATACAAGAAGTCAAACCAGTTTGCGATTAATATAAACAGACTTTTCAGGCAAACTACAGAGTACGAAAAACAGGCTCCTGAATAGCGTTTGACGCAGCAGTAGGCGTAGTTCCTGTCCGTTTAAAAATCTAGTCGAATCCTGATTGGTTGAAAGTTGTGTATTCTTCTTGACTGAACGCATCCTCTTTATTCATTGGGCGTGACGCAACCGCCACTCGTTTGTAATTGGCTGAATCTTTTCGACTTCTTTTTCAAATCGCGCAGCGTTTGCCAGTGCGTCGTAACGCTTACTACTAGTTCGCTAGTTTCAGTACGAAACTATTACTTTGATTATTTCGCTTGAAATGTGGAATTTCGTGAGTTTGCCCTTGTTTTAAGTAACGCTTTAAAATGGCCGAAGCGGGAACGCAACGAGGAGTCCTGGATTTCAGCCCGGTGAGGAAAAACAACACCGCTAACAAGGAAAACGACCATCCAGTTCTGAGCTTGATACAGTTCTCAAAGCCTCCTTTTGTGACATTTGGCACAGTAAAGTTAGGCACCTCTAAATCTGTTGTTTTACGGATTGAAAATCCCATCGAGGATGTCGAGGCGGAGGTTACTGTTAACAAGATCCCTTCGAGTAAAGGCTTTTCTGTGGAGCACAACACGTTCACGATTCAGGTGCGTTTGGTTTGGACACACGTGGGTTAAAACGTGTCCGTTCTCGTTTCTTACGGTCTTTTTGTGTTTGCAGCCGGAGAGCTCGTTCACTTTAACCATAACCTGGACCCCAGCAGAAGAAGGTGGGTTCAGGGAGCTCCTCATCTTCAGTGCTAATGGAGTCCTGAAGCACCAGGCCGTCCTGCTGGGAAGAGCAGAAGCTCCAAAAAAGAACAAGGTAACTACTCTGACTGCTGCTGTAGGGGGATTAAATCCCAGTTTTACTGATAAAGATAAACACGGGTGCATGTTATGGATTGTGTTTTGAATTCATGCAGAATTTTCCAAAACGTCTCTACCTCATCAAAACACCCAGAAAGGAACTCCTTTAACATACTGTAAAAAAATGTATTTCATTTCTTTTTTGTTAGGAGTAGAAATGCACCGATTCTAGTTTTGAAGGCCGATACTGGTTTTAATTTGTGTACAGCTCTGACCTGCGGATTCCCATTCATTACAATAAATCTATTTATTACCAAAAACAAAATTGTAAACTTATGATTCACTCACCGGTTCATGAACAATGTTGCTTTCATGCACCCCGAAACAAAATACCCATTTTAAGCTCTACTATTTTAATCATCAGCCGATTTTTTTTAGTTAATATCATATCAGGTGCCTCAACTTGTTGGAAATGCTCCATTATATGTGGTATTATTAATCATTTTTTATAACAAGTATAATTCCACAATTTTTATGGGTTTTGCTGACGCATCAAAGGCTTTTGATTGTGTAAACTATGAAAAGTTAATTAGGATTTTGTCCTATTGGTACACTCACCAGTCTATGTTAAATGGGGTACTTGTACGGTAACAATTGTATGTCTCTTTGGATAAAAACGCCTGCCAAATAAATAAACATACTTGTGTGTCCTCTCCTTTTAAGGTTTGTAATGGAGTTAGACAAGGAAGTATTCTGTCTCCTCTTTTTAATGTTTCAATGGACGATTTGTCAAAGTGGCTTAGTGACTGTAGAACTGGATGTGTGCTTGGTGGGACAATAATAAACCACTTAATGTATGCAGATGATTTGACGATCCTCTGTCCATACATGCAAGTCCATAGCTGGCTTTCAGCTGCTGTTGAAGGTCTGCTCTCAGTACGGCTCAGAGTTTGACATCAACTTTAATGTCAGAAAGAGCAATCTTTTAATTGTGAGCGGTAAGAAGGACCGCAAGCTGGAATTTCCAGTCTTCTTTATGTCAGGTGTTCTTGAACGCACCGTGATTAAATATCTGGGACACCATATATCTGCTGGTTTGACGGATGATGTGGACATCTAGCGACAGTGCCGCCTACTGTATGCACAGGCTAACACTCAGATGCGTAAGTTTGGAATGTGCTCTGTACCTGTTAAAACTGAACTGTTTAAAGCGTATTGTACTCCAATGTACACTACCCGTCTGTGGAGGCGTCGTCATCGTCTTCCTCCGCTTATCCGGGTCGCGGGGGCTGCATCCCAACTAGGGAGCTTGTCAAGTCCCGCACTGTTTTGTGCTTCCTCACTTGAGAGGGATAAACATCCACCCAGAGTTTAGAAACTGGAGTTCACTCCGAGACCGAAACAATGCTTCACTTTTTGCTTTTGCAGGGTAAGGTTTAGTTTAGTGCTTGAAACCATTTATAACGGAGTAAGATTAACTATTTATGAGAAAATGGAGTGAAATAGTTTATGAAACCTATCTCATGTAGTTGGCGTAGAGAAATCTTGATTATTTGTCTTGGAAGTACTTAAAAAGGACTTAAAAGTCATTGAAATGCCAACAAGTTAATAAGAACTTTAGTAAAAGAACTACTTTAAAAACTTGATTGTTTTTGTTTTTTAGAAGAGCTTGTGGGATTCAATCAAGAACAAAAGAAAAGGGGACCAAAGCCAAACGCAAAAGAAAACTGCGCCGCCGCTGAAGATGGTGGCCAGTAAAACCTTCCAAGTCTCCAGAAACCCGCAGTACAAACGAGGGAAGCCACGCCCCCCGCTCGCCTCGCTCGAGCTGTCCCAATCGAAGCACGGCTCAGGTGGCCATCACTGGTCCATTACTGGTGACCATTACTACTCCGAACCAGGAGAACAGAAGTGTTTAAGTTCCCTACAGTCAGTGGCAGATCAGGAGAGACGTCATGACGTTCACAACAACTCCCCTGTTGTCCTGCTTGTCCCGGCTGCAAAACTCATGGATTCTGGCGGCGTGTCCGACAGTCTGAAACCTAAAAACAAAGAACTCACACAATTGTTTAACAAGACTCTCTCTCCCATTGGGACACCAGATATGTTAAAGAAGCTAATGCCTCACATTCAGTCAGATGCTTCTGTGAACGTCGCCGGCGACCACACCGTCCCATCTTTAAAAGATGCACTGGATCTCATCGGCTCTGATCTGATTCTTCACACGAGTCCCAGAGACACGAGTTCAGGCTGCGAGTTCTCCGACTCTCTGGAGTACAAGAGTGGAAAACCGGACTGCAGGTCGGATAAAAGTTCCTCGTCTGGGCAGCCCAGGCTCACCTTCTTTGTAAGTAAGAAGGTTGTTTCAGAAGACGTTGACGTTGGGGAGAAGGTGAAAAAGCCACCTTTTACGTCTGCTACCGTAACTAAAGGCAAAGCGCCAGCAGAGGTCGGCAGTCCAGGAGGGAGGAGAACAAAAAAGTCACGTCGACGGCTCTTGGAAAAGACAACAGAGTTCTCTGACAGCAGCAGCAGTCAATCGGACTCTTGCTCAGACACCCCAAGCCTTCCTGTCATCGACACGGGCGCGGGATCCACGCTGGGCGAAGACGGACATCAGCTCCCAGAGTTTATGTCCTCTAGCCCCAAGTCGAAGCCTCACTGCTCACCTGCACCCATCACCTTCCCCATCTCCTCCCCTCTGCACCCGGCTCCTTCCAGCTTCTCTTTTTCGGTCACCTCTCCGCCTCCTTCAGTTCACGCCCCGGCTACTTTCACCATCACCTCCTCACCACCGGCGGCCTCCTCGTCCACAGAGTCTGTGCAGGCCCCCACCAGTTTAGCACCAGTTTCTGCTGAGGACGACCCGTTTCCTGTTCAGCTGGAAGGTAAAAGCAAGAAGAGGAAGAGCGGGGAGGATCTGAACGGTGGGAGTGAGGACTCTGGGGAATCCAAACATGTGAAAAGGAGCCGAGGCGTGGCTGCGAAAACCGATTCCCTCAGATCAGCCCAGGAGAGGAGGGGCGTGTCACAGAGAGCTGCAAGTGAGTTCATTCATTAGCTTCATTTAAGTCGTAAATGTTTGGCACATTTCCATTCGAATGGTCTAATCCGAATGACTTAAATTTACATATTTCTGCTGATTTGCTCACGTACCAAATAACGATCTTGAATTTACTTTCTTCCCAGGATCGGTACACGCGGTGACATCATCATCTCTGAGGAAGACGAAGCCCGCAGTGGCCGTCCAGGCCAAACGGCCAAACTCCAGAGTCCTCTCACAAGGTAACGCCGTGTTGGTTTTTATGGATGCTCAGATTTACCCCCAAATTCCACTACCTCCGCTCCGACACGAACGCCGGAGCAAAATCGGTCCCGTTGTAGTCAATCAGAGCAATTCCACTACTGCGGCCGTGTTCTGGCAGTGCGCCGCCCTCTGTTCCGGCGTCCGGCAAAAATAGAATCGATCCTATTTTCGCCGGACGCCGGAGCACCTCCGCAGTAAATGGACAGAAATCACAACCGCCCAACAGGAAAAGGAGCAAGCACAACTTCCGTTTTTCACAATAAATCGATAAACAAAAGGCGTTTTTTGTTTCATATGCACAGGTTTAACAACTTTTAACAACTATCAATGGCGGCTGAACTTTAAATGCACAAAAGTAAGCCATAAATACAGTTTCTACTATCAAAGTAGTCACACTTTGTTGATCCAAAATCTCTCAACACAAATGATGGGCAGATTAAACAGTTCATTTCGATGCTTCTCCCACACAACGGGTGTTTGGATCTAACTTCCACGTTTATTGCTCGGACTGTATCGCAAGATCTCGAAAATCCCGCGCAGGCTTGTTTGCCCACCTCAGGTCTCCGCACCGGAGCGGAGCCGTTGTAGAGCGGGTACCAAGAAAAACTGAGTTCGGAAGCGAGCGGCTGCGGAAGGCAAGCGGAGCGGAGGTAGTGGAATTTGGGGGTTACTGACACGCTTTTACTCAAGGTCTCTAACTGGTTTTGATTCCACTCTCAGGTGCTTCATCTGTGAAGAGATGTGGCTCTGAATCTGTGACGAAGGCCAAAGTGGTCGCGGTCGCTCAGTCGAAGCTGACCTTTGTTAAACCTCCACAAACGGGTACTTCATACGACTTTTAAGCCAGCCTGGATGTTCAGCTTCAGTTCTTCAAGGTCATTTATTTCCCACTTCTGCCTTTCCCCCCCCCCCGTTTTAGCTCTACCGAGACACCCTATGCCGTTTGCTGCCAAGAACATGTTCTACGATGAGCGGTGGATCGAGAAGCAGGAGAGAGGGTTCGCCTGGTGGATCAACTACGTCCTGACCCCGGACGACTTTAAAGTCAATACAGAAGTCGCTAAAGGTAGCACGAGCCCGGCGGACTGCTCGCTTTAGCTTGAGCTTTACAGACAAATGAACGTCTTGTGTGTTTCATAGTGAGCGCCGTGTCTCTCGCCATGGGCATCGACGATAAGTTCAGCGCGCCCAAAGCTCCAACCAAAGAGGAGATGTCGTTCAGCACCTACACGGCCAAGCACAAGCTGAACCGCCTCCGTCGGTCCGCCTGCCAGTTGTTCACATCTGAGGTCATGGTCAAGGCCATTCAGAGGCTTGAACTGGAGGTGGAGGCCCGACGGCTGCTGGTTCGGAAAGATCGACACCTGTGGAAGGACATAGGTAAAGGTCCTGCTGTCAGCTTCAGAACTTGGATTACTTTATGGGGAAGTTGACATTTTCTGGATTTAATTGTCAGGCGAACGCAAAAAAGTCCTCAACTGGCTCCTGTCGTACAATCCACTGTGGCTACGGATCGGCCTGGAGGTATTTCAAGCGTCTCCTTCCACTTTTAGTTTCTTTGAGTGTTTTTTTTCCTGGACCTGTCCAGTCTCAGCTTTTGCTCATCCTCAGACCGTTTTTGGGGAGCTGATCTCGCTGGAGAGCAACAGCGACATCCTCGGCCTGGCGATGTTCATCCTCCAGCGGCTGCTGTGGAACCCAGACATCGCCGCTGAGTTCCGACACCCCCGAGTGCCTCACCTGTACAAAGACGGTAATTTAGGAGGCTCGTCAGAGCTGCACAACAGCTGCAGGAGAATTCTCAGCTGCTCTTTATGTGTATCCTAACCCCTGCCGCACACTGGAGGCATCAACAGCAGTGGAAACGTTTACTCGTGACAATCGCTGCTAGGGCTGCAACTAACGGCTGTTTTAATAGTCGACTAGTCACCGACTATTGCAACGATTAGTCGACTAATCGGATAATTATTACATTTTTCTTAAATTTAGGATGAGATTGCTTTAAAGGGGCATTATGGAAGTTTGACAGCCAAAACATGTATAGAAATAATTAATGTCTTCTTCATACATTCTCCTGCAGTGCCCTGGTCCTGTAGAATGAGCCCTGGCATTTTTACTGTGATTGCCTGTTTTTCTGTAAAATCACAGAAAAAGAGAGATGCTCGGGTCGAGCAGGCTGCTTCATGCACGTTCACGCTCAGGCATAACCCGTAGCATTTGCTATCCGTAGTTTTAGCAGCAGAGAGAGAGGCAATGCCAACTCAGCGACTTTGTCGCTGTTCCTAACGCCTAGTGATGAACCTAGCTACATTTCTGAGGACCCTTAGCTACTTTCTGTAGAACTTTCTTCTAGATATTTCCTGCAAATTAGCAACAAAATAGCCATTTTCGCTCCGAACCGTTCTTTGAACGTTGTTTCAGCTGTCATCAAGGATATAGATGTTACAGATAGAGAAGACGTCACTGGTTTTATTTTTTACATTAATGGTATATTTTTTTACAGTAAGATGCCTAAATTTTTATTTGAGACTCGCCGAACGGCATTGGATTCACAGATAAAAAAGATGTGGGTTCAACTTTCATTTTGGAACAATTTTTCAAGCAAGGGAAGGGAATGATCTGAGCATGCAGGAGGACTGACCCATCATAAACCTTTGTCGGCTGTGCTGAAGAGAAAGGTACAGAACCAAATTATTTAATTAATTAGCTGCGCGTTCTCCTGTCCTCTGTCCTCCGGGCCACACACACACACGGGACTGTCTCAGCTGTTTTCGTTAAGGAGTGTGCACGTACAGCATGCGCGCCTCGTGCACGAGCCTACTATTGAAGCTGCTGTTACGCTTTTGGCCTGAGGGGGCAATCGCGAGCATAAAAATTCAAAACTCCGTAAAGTCCCTTTAATTATGTGAAAAATGATAATAAACTCAAGAAAGATGGGTACTTCAATGGAAAATGCATATTTTATTGAACTTTGCTGCTGATAGGCCAATTCACTCACTCACTCACTCACTCACTCAGCCTTTATTTATACAGCACCTTACAGGCATGAGCATGCCACCAAGGTGCTGTACAACAATAGAATAAAACATATAGCGCCACAGACATAATTAAAACCATAAATAAGAATTACAGAATATAAAACATTAACAATTGCTAACCCACAGAATTAAAAGCCAGATCATAAAAGTAGGTTTTTAGCCTCATTTTAAAAACTGCTACCGATGGAGAGCCCCTAATAGTTAGGGGCAGTGTGTTCCACAGTTCCAGACCTGCAACAGAGAACGCCCTGTTCCCTCTCAACTTCAACCTATCCTTAGGAGCCACAAGCAGCAGCTGGTTCTCAGAGCGGAGTGACCGGGCCGGAACATATGGCTGCAGCAACTCCGTCAAATAGGCTGGAGCCACACCACTCAGCGCCTTAAACACCATTAAAAGTAGTTTAAAACGAATTCTAAAATCAACAGGCAAACATGGTGTCACGTGTTCATGCTTCCTTTTGTTGTCCAAGAATCTTGCTGCAGCATTCTGGACAAGCTGCAGCCGGTTTAGTCCCCTTACTTACACCAAATAAAACGGACTTGCAGTAGTCGAGTCGTGGGGTCATAAAAGCATGAACAACCGTCTCTAGATAGAAACGGCTCTACTTTAGCCAAACGTCTTAAATGATAAAATGAAGAGGATACTACCGTACCCACATGAGCATCCATGCAGAATGCACCGTCCATCTTCACGCCAAGGTTGACTGCTGAAACGCCCAAATATGGGTTCAGTTCACCGCAGTCTACGGTAAATAAAAATGCCCGATCTAACACCAATTAGGCACAGTGCTCAGTCAGTACAGACATAAATGAATAAATAAAGTTAAAATACTTTTGTCAGGCACAGTCGGGGATAACATTAAATCTCTTTTTTTAAAAGCGAAAATACAAAAATGTACATCCAAAACAAAACGTGTCGGCTTTCGTGTTATTTAAATCTTACCGAGGTGAGTCAGACTCTGTTTCATTCTACTGTCCAACGTGCTTTCATGCATCAGCGAGGTGCTGCCGTGATACGCGAGCACTGCTTTGCAAATAATGCAGGTAAACTTTCTATTCGCCGAGTCCAGACTAGAATGCTCCCAAACTTTAGATGCTTTGGTACGCGTAGCTGCGGTGTCGGACGCCGCCATTTCTGTTAGTTGGCGCTCAGCACAGCAGTGAAGCTGTTGCGCGTGTGCGACTCTCGGCAGAGATTGTAATGAAGCGAGATGCCTCACTCGGTCGGAAAAAACACGTCTGGCGACAACGTCGACAAATCTATTGTCGATATTTGTCGACGAATCGTTGCAGCCCTAATCGCTGCACTCCAGCTCACACCAGGAGAGTCTCGGCCACGAAGTGGCTTCTCCGCTGTGCTCCTCGCTCGACTCGCGAGATCACAAAATCCCTCGAGTTTATGCCGTCCGCCATTACACCAAAAAGAAGGAAATCCCCTTTGATGTCATATATGATGATGTTCCTCTCCACTGCCAGGATTAAAGCAGTGAAAAACACACCGCTGCACCTCTGGGACGATGCTGGGACTAAATAAGCCGTTAGGTCACGTGCATTGACATAATCTACGCAGATATGAAATTGCACCGTTGCAATAGACTTTTATTTTGAAAATTACTGAGGGTTTTACACGGAAACTGTGTGTGATTTGCTGTCTAGCCCTATGCTGACTGTGGACATTGTCATGTCCCAGACGCGGCTCACGGCAAAAATAGAACCCGGTCCTAGGGATGCAACAATACCACTTTTGTCCAAACCAATATGATACTGATACTTGGATCTAAGTACTCGCCGATTACCGATACCGATACTTCTACCACACAAAAAAATGCAATCATTTGGAATACAGATTTTATTTTCTTCTCTGCTTTCAGCAGGAAAACACTGTGAGGTAGATAAAAAGTAAAATATATGAATGGAAATCATACAAAACTAAACTATTAGGTGAACAGAAATGACAAGTTACAGTGAAGCCATTTTCAAGCAACTGCATTGGTATCGGTTCCTGGTACCGGTTTATTTTTGCCGATACTGGTATTGGTGTCGGTATCGGTGCCAATACCAGACCACACACACACACACACCTAGACTCTAGTGGATTCTATTTGAAGCTGGGACGTTCTGCTGCCATTCCACGCCGCTGATTCTTCCAGTGTGAAGTAGGCTTTGGTCTTTTAACGGTTTGCTGTTTTAGAAAAGTAGTTTTGTTCCAATTTTTCAGTTCTCTTTAAAGTGACTTTTTATACTCAAACTTTGAAGTAGAAGTCCATGTTCGCCACACTCGCTGTTTCCCCGTTAGGCCACGAGGAGGCGCTGTCTCGCTTCACCCTGAAGAAGCTGCTGCTGCTGGTCTGTTTCCTGGACAGAGCTAAAGAATCCCGTCTGATCGAACACGATCCTTGTCTGTTCTGTCTGGATGCGGAGTTCAAGGTGGGTCACGTCTTCTGGGAATCGTTTTACATCCATAAAAGTCCAAAAAAACACACATTCACTCTGAATTATTACAGGTGTAAGGGTTTAAGGAGAGAAATGCATTTTTATTTAGTTAAACAGGGTTTGTGTGTGCGAAAAAGTCTAATTATCTCCTTTTATTCCTTGTTTGAACCCTTTAGACCGTAACTGGGTTTGAGTCATTCTTATCAAATTAAGATAAACACAAAAAAAATCTGTGCATGATTTTTATGTTTGTTACGCCCTCTTCCAGGCTAGGAGATCTGGAAAAGGTAACAAAAAAAAAAAAAAACAGATCTACACCCTAAAAATAACAAATGTAAGGCATAGCTTCTGTTTGGAGAAAGGGTTTATTAACCAAGAATGCCCCCTACCCCCCTACAAAAGGTAGAGGCCAGCCACAAACACAAACAGGTTCTCAACTAGGATCTTAACTAAAGGAGGTTGCTCTAAAACACAACGCATTTTAATCTATGAATTAGTGAGTCCTACCTTAAGTGGAGGAGTTTAGGTATCTTGGGTGAGGGTAGGAGGGATCGGGAGATCGACAGGCGGATTGGTTCGGCGTCTGCAGTGATGCGGACGCTGAGCCAGAAAGCCAGGCTCTTGATTTACCGCTCGATCTACGTCCCAATCCTCACCTATGGTCATGAGCTTTGGGTAATGACCGAAAGAACGAGATCGCGAATACAAGCGGCCGAAATGAGTTTCCTCCGTAGGGTGGCCGGGCTCAGCCTTAGAGATAGGGTGAGGAGCTCGGACATTCAGGAGGGACTCGGAGTAGAACCGCTGCTCCTCCGGATCAAAAGGAGTCAGTTGAGGTGGTTTGGGCATCTGGTCAGGATGCCTCCTGGACGCCTCCCTGGGGAGGTGTTTCGGGTATGTCCTGCCGGCAGGAGGCCCCCGGGTCGACCCAGGACACGTTGGAGAGGGTACATCTCCAATCTGGTCCGGGAGGGCCTTGGGGTCCTGCCGGAGGAGCTGGTGGAGGTGGCCGGGGAGAGGACAGTCTGCAGCTCCCTAGTTGGGATGCTGCCCCCGCGACCCGGACCCGGATAAGCGGAGGAAGACGACTACGACAAAGTAGTGAGTAGCACGTGAGGAGGTCATAGAATATAAAAGCTAGACAAAAAGGGAGCCAACAGGAGGTAACCTCCTACAGCCAAAGCTGAAAACGCTTATAAAGACGCCTAACAACACAGAGAGACACTTAAAGAGCTTTAACGCTCACTTTAGCTTAACGCTAACTCAAAGGGAATTTAACCCGTGACCAAAGTCTCGTAAGGACGAAAAGGGCTCCCTGAGAGCACCAGACAGCATCTGACACCCTCCTCGAATGGGTGACAACCACCAGTCTGTAAGGGCCGCTCATCCAGCTGGGCCGGTTAGGATCCACAGCGTGTCGCTCTCCATGGTGCTGAAGAACGCTGAGCATGGCTGGATCGCAGCTCTCCAGGGTGCTGGTCCTTATTTAGGAAGAAATGGAAACCTGAAGAGACCACGGGGCAGCGGGACCTCCTCAGGATGGGACAGCCAGACCCAGGGCTCGTAACAATGTTTTGCTGGATTGCTTTTTTGAAAAGCGCATCAAATATCAGAGTAACTAAAAAAATACTACAGTGGCTTTTTTTTTTACCTTAAAAAAGTTGATCCGAAAATAATTCACTTTTTAGTGAATAATTCAAAGACAAAAACATTCTAAGAAGAATGGTGAAAGCACAAGGATTCACCTGAATTTGTTTCATTCATAGGCTAAAATACTAATGTATACCCCCAACTTATTCTAAGAAAAATAAAATTATTCCAATATTTGTATTTTCTAACTATTTAGTAGGACAGACCCAGCTCGATGGTTCTCTATAATCCGAATGTTTTTAGGACGTTGGGTCGTGTTTCACACGTTCAACTCGAGATGGAGACTCATCTAGCCGTTTCTTCTCTTGCAGGCCACCAAAGACCTGCTGCTGGCCTTCTCCAGGGACTTTCTGAGTGGAGAGGGGATTCTCCCCCGACACCTCTCCTACCTCGGGTTACCAGTGTCCCACGTTCAGACGCCCCTCAACGAGTTCAGCTTCGCTGTGAACAACCTGGCGGTCGACTTGAGATGCGGCATTCGTTTAGTGTGGGTAGACTAGATCCTCTGATCCTTGTTTTTGCTTTGGTCTTCTGGTGGCAGACTGTAGCGTTCCTTCAGCTCAAAGGGATTCAGGCTCTTCAATGAAGCCTTCTCAGGGGGTTAAAGGGGAAACGGGGGTCAGAGTGACTCAAAACCTCATTAAGTTAATAGTAAAGATCGTAGACTGCTTTCGTGTCAGATTAAATTTGAGAATAGAAACCTGAAACCCAAACTAAGCAAATCTGCAGATTTCTTTTTTTGTGGCGTTTCTTCCAGTCGTGTGATGGAGCTCCTCGTTCAGGACTGGAGTTTGTCGGCAAAGCTTCGTCTGCCGGCCATCAGCCGCCTGCAGAAGGTGCACAACGTCGACCTGGCTCTACAAGTTCTTACACGCAAAGGGATAGACCTGAAGGACGAGCATGGTGACGCTTTCAGCCTTGGATTCCTGACAAGCTAGTAATGTGGACCATCTTATTTAAAACGGTGTGTTTTTGTTTTTAGGCGCCGTCATTGAGTCCAGAGATATTGTGGACGGACACAGAGAAAAAACTCTGAGCCTCTTGTGGAAAATCCTCTTTTCATTTCACGTACGTATCCTGTGTTTGTTTATTTATTTATTTTCTAGCCACCGTTGCGGTGAAACGGTGAACAAATGAATCGTATTTTCTTCCAACGGTGTGTGAAGGTGGAGGTTATTCTGGATGAGGATCAGCTGAGAGAGGAGATCTGCTTCCTGAGGAGGACCCTGAGGACCAAGCGGAGGCTGGCGTCTGCGAGGGCCGATCGGGGCTTTCAGCCGAGTCCTGAAACGACCCCGGCGCCGTACCAACACACGAGCACCAAGGTCGCTCTGCTGATGGACTGGGTCCGTGCTGTGAGCGACTTCTACGGTCTGAAGGTGAGACTTGCTTCTCTTCATGAGACACCAACTGGGAGCAAGAGTTGGAAAAAGCTCATTTTTATTAATGAATTACTGGTATTGCCAGTTTGGCCATATTGAATCAACATTCAGTCATTTAAAAGATTAAAATGTCCCTTTTGTCTAGAAACAACACGAGCTACGTCTCCATTAGGGTTGTCACGGTGTGAAAATGTAACCTAACAGTTATTGTGACCAAAATTATCACGGTTTTCCGTATTATCGCTGTATTTTTTATACGTGCTACATTTTCAAAATGAACCCTGTATGTCAGGAAATATTGTCCTCAGCTTGTGTCTAAATTTTGCTTATTTTGTAATGATGTTGTTTATTTGTTTACATTTTTCCCCTTTAGTCTTTAAAATACCAATATTTGCCCATAACTTCTTATTTCTTGTCTGTCTGATGTCATCATTTTAAAAATATTAGATCAGATGATACTCAGTACTCAAGTAGCCTTCTAATCACATCCTTTTTTGCCCTTACTTGAGTAATAAACCCTATATCAGGAAAGTATTGTCCTCTGTTTGTGTCCTTCCAGTGAACTTTGCAGATGTGGGAAAATGTCATCAGGCAGTAATCGTTGTTAAATTCATAATTATTCTCGGAGAGAGACCAACTCTTATCTGCCCCTGGGAGCCCCGTAATGCATAGCATCATTTCAACATGGCGGTGTCCGCGACACGGTTTATAAGCAGGTAGCGGCGCTGCGGCTGCTTTATATAGCGACTCGTTGCGTTCTCCCTCAACCCAAATCCTCGGATCACGCATTTTAGCTAAAACGCTAACGTTAGCTTGCCTTGCGTTGACTGTAGAGTTGTGGGTGATGGTCACGCAGATGTGTCATGAGATTTGAAGCGTTGCTGCCTTTCACAGACACTTTTTCTGCACGTGCTGCAAACAGGATAGCCGTCTTCTATCAGCTGTCCCTCGGCATTCTTCAAATATCCAAAAAGATGCCCGTACTTCCCACTTTGTCTTCTTTGAGGGATAATAAATGTCCTGAGCGCTGCCGTCTCCTCCTTTGGTCATTATTTCAGCTTTAGCTTCAAGAAAGTTTTGGTTGTAAACAACAAAGTGCACATGTGCCGCCGGCAACTTCAGCAGATGATACGGTGGCTGGTAAGGGTCACCGCGCCTACACCGCAGCCACGGTAACCCACCGAGATAATATAGCGTTTTTTAAAAACAAGACGGTTATTATTATTGTCAACTTTGCTACCGGGGTTTACCGCTACACCGGTTACCGTGACAACCCTATCTCCAACATGCCAATAAGACGAGCTTACGTTTACTGTAGCTCCATGTGATGCTCACCAGGTCCCAGCTTTGCTCTTTATAGGTGTCAGCACATGTACTTTATTATGCTTCTGAGCAGGTGGAGAACTTCACTGTGTCGTTCTCTGATGGCCGCGTTCTCTGCTACCTCATTCATCACTACCACCCCGGCCTCCTGCCAGGAGCCTCCATCAGCACCAGCACCACGCAGACTGTGGAGTGCTCACAGAGAGGCCGTCTGGAGCTGAACTGTTCATCTGGTGACTCCGACTGCTCCTTGGACGCGGCGCCAACTGGCTCTAATGGTACAATTCTATTTGTTTGGTTCGGATTAAACGTAAAACCATACTGCAGTACCAAAGATCCGCTGTTGGGAAAACGAAATTTGAATGTAGTACGGAGAAATGGGCTTATTTAGGATAATTGTGTCTGCGTAACTTTCAGGACCAGACTGTTCCCCTCTGGTGTTCAAAGAGCTGCTGGAAAATGAGAAGAGCAACTTCCGGTTGGTGAACGCTGCTGTGTCTTCCCTGGGTGGCGTTCCAGCCATGATCAGTCCAGCTGACATGTCCAACACCATCCCCAGTGAGAAGGTGAGATGTGTGAATGTAAGAGTTTCTTTAGATGGGAAACTAAAAAATGGCTAAGGGGTTTAGAGCAGAACTGGTTTACTACGGAGCAGCAGTAGCGCAGGAGGTGGAGCGGGTTGTCCAGTAATCGGAAGGTTTTAGGATCAATCCCGGATCCCAGCTGAGGATTCTGCTGTTGTGTCCTTGGGCAAGACACTTAACCCACCCTGCCTGCTGCTGGTGGTCAAATGGACCGACGGTGCCTGTGCTCGGCAGCCTCGCCCCTGTCACTGCGTCCCAGAGCGGCTGTGGCTACGTTGTTGCTCATCAGTGTGTGAATGGATGAATGATGAACTATATTGTAAAGCGCTTTTGCGTTCTCTGACGGTGAAAGGCGTTTTATAAGTGCAGGGTGTTTATGATTGACTTACGTCCGTGTTGATTTGTTTGCAGGTCGTGATGTCCTACCTGTCCTTTCTTTGCGCCCGTCTGTTGGACCTGCGTAACGAAACCAGAGCGGCGCGTGTCATTCAGGCTGCCTGGAGGAAGCACAGACTGCAGAAAGACCTGCAACTCTACGAGGTCCAGTGGTTTCTTTATTTCTTTCATTTATACTTTTTAAAGCTGAAAACACGAGATATTTTGTCAGAGAATCAAATCCACACTTCCAACTGGAATAACTCATTCATGTACACGTTCCAATGGCTGGGTATTACAGTTGCTATTCATACATCATGCATTCAATTCAAATTCAAAAATACTTTATTAATCCCAGAGGGAAATTGATTGCTGTAGTAGCTCAGAATAATAATAATAATCAAGTCATCAAAGAGTTGTTGTATATTACAACGGCTGTTGGCAGGAAGGATCTCCAGCAGCGGTCAGTGTTGCAGCCAAACTGAAGAAGCCTCTGACTGAAGACACTCTTCCGTTGTCGGACAGTCTTGTGAAGAGAATGCTCAGGGTTGTCCATCATTTTCTTGATTCTCTGGAGAATCCTTCTTTGCATTATCTCCTCCAGCGGTTCCGAAACTGCCGAAACTCTGGCTGAGTCCTTGAAAGGGCTTGTAGTTCCTCCATCTTGTTGGCCAGTGATCTCATGTTGCCCTTTATGATCGATGGAAGAGATGGTTTGAATTTCCTCTTTCTCTGTCTCCGTTTTGCTCCCGCTCTGCACCCACGCTTCTTGCGTTTTAGCTCATTTGGGATTTGTGGCTTCAGTTGAGGTATTATTTCAGCCTTTCCAAAGTTAATCAGCTGCTCCCGATTGTAATCCAGGCTGTTGCCATGGTTACGCATAACAAATGCTCAAAAAGTGAAAAAAGCTAAAAAAAATAGCAGTAAAAATCCTCCAAGCTTCACAGCACCAGAAACAGAAAAGTAAAATGTCCAAAAAAATACAGTTTTTCTTGAGAAACTAGAAGAAAAAATGTCCAAGAAAAGGCAAAACTTACATATAATCAACAGAGCTACTCCAACATGCAGCCACCCAGAGCAGCGCAGTTCTGGGGAAAAAATATATATATATATAATACATGACAGTTTGAATAGCTCAGATCCCATTTCATTCAAATCACATCCATGTCACTTTCATATGCAGTGCTGATTCAGATACATATCTGATGTTTTTAAAGCGACTGAACGATTATGTTGCATTAAATCCGTCTGAGTCAGCGGAGGTGAGCGTTGTGTGTTGGTGTTCCTGAGGACAAACGCTGACAGAAGGATTCGGGGGTCTGTCTGTCTGAACATCCTGTCAACTTTTGGAGTTAGAAATGCAGGAGAGATGAGAACGGGAGCGGGAGGTGCTGCTGGAGCGGTCCCAGTCTCTGTGATCTTAATACTCAAACATTTTTAGTGAATAACAATTCGGGAATAAGGAGTAAAATAGTTTTTTAAACAATTTCCAGCCTAAGACGGGGGAATTAACAGGTGTGGTCCCGATCCTGTGGATGAACACAACACCACTCCGCATCTGCTGGTTCCGACTCCAATGAGCGTGACTTCTTGTCTTCTGTGCATGTGGGTCGCCTTGGGGCCGTGAAGTGTTCACACTGGAGAGTTTGGTGCCGCATTTCCGTCGTCGTCTAAATGGCCACACAAAAAAATAGGATTTGCTTTAACTGCGGGTCCTTAAAAGGTCTTAAATTAGCTTTTCCAAATTTAAGGCCTTAAAAATCCTTAAAAATTACAAATAATCCTTAAATACAGCTTCCAGAGGTCTTAAATTACCAAAGACCCAATAAACAAGATTCTTTTGTTTCTATAAAATTTTCGTGAATTTCTAGTGTTCAGCATTTTTTTGTGTATGATGTTGGCAAAAGCGGAACCGTACATGTTCAGTTGGTTGTGAAAGGGGGCTATTTTTAGATGAGCACATTAGCTGATTAAGCTAGTGGGAGCTTGCACCATGGGGAAGTGGAAGTTTAATGGTAACTGGATGGCTAACCCCACGATCGCGGCGTGGTTAGCACCGGTTCCAGGCAATAGCTGGAAATTATAGCTTAAATGATAAATGACCCGTACTTGTATAGCGCCTCTCAGAGTAAGGACTCCAAAGAGCTTCACACTACAGTGTATCATTCATCCATTCACACACACATTAACACACTGATGGTGATGAGATACGATGTAGCCACAGCTGCCCTGGGGCACACTCATGGACGTAATTTTTTGGGGGGGGGGGGGGGACATGTCCCCCCCACTTTTTCCAAAATCAAGTTTTGACCTCTGTACCTTTTACCATCCAAAAACAATATTACGCTATATTAAATTGACACTGGTTGAGCTCTAAGACCAAGAGGAAAACAGCCGTTTGTGTTGACGCCTGTTTCCCATTAGAGAATACTGTAAAGACCTGCAGATACCCTGTTTAAAAATTGGAGTTGAGCATCAAGGCCTGCAGTGTTAACATAACCTTAAAGTCCTGCGCTTGGGGCAGGACCTCATCCCCGACCCAGAGAAGGCATTCTACCCTTTTCCGACACAAGACCTTGGTCATCCCAGCTACTTCACGTGACGTTCTGGTGAAGCCAACAGGACCACACCATCTGCAAAAAGCAGCCTCCATCCTCAGAACACCATAATGGATCCACCTCAACACCTTGGCTGCTTCCAGACATCCTGTCCTGTCAGAAACGAGCTCAACTTCCTGCCGGAAAAGCAAACACCTTTAACTCACAATAAAACGTAGTTTAGCTCGAAGAGTAAAACCATGGATGGAACTAAGGCTGCACGATATTAGAAAAACCTGCGATATGCGATGACAGCGATTAATATTGCGATGACGATATTACTTGGAATAAATAGAAATTTAACTCGGGAACAAAAATAATCAAAAACAAATAAAGACAAAAAATTCATAAAAATGAGAAAAGCAAAAGAGGTGAGGAAAGGGAAAAAGAAAATGAACAAAAAAAAGGATCAGTGGATCCCAGGAAAAGCAGAACTAAGCTAACTCAGGTGTTTTCTAACCATCAGAATTAAGTGTGTCCTCCTCGGGGGCGGGACTCTAACCTATGAGAACCCACCCAGTTGGCCAAATGAGTGAAGAGCTCCATTTGATTTGTTAAAAAAACATCATGCTTCCATTAGATTGACAGAATGCGTTATGTGTAGCAAACATTTGAGCTGAACATTCATTACGATATTTATCTGTTCTTTGTGATATGCATATTGCGCATGCTGATACCTCGATAACGAAATATTTGCGATATATCGTGCAGCCCTAGATCGAACTGTTGCGATTTAACGGTTTGTTTCTCATTTCAGGAAAGAAATCAGGCGGCGGGGAAAATCCAGCTGGCGGTGAGACGTTTCCTCCAGAAACGTCGAGCTGAGAGGCAGAATGGAGCTGCTGTAGTCATCCAGGCGTTCTGGAGGGGTTATTCTGCCCGCAACCGGATGAGGCTGGAAGAAGAGGCTCGGATTCGCGCCGTTCAGCACAAGGCAGCAACTGTCATCCAGGTCGGTGTTTTACTATGAAACCGTGCAGATAAAATTTAGACCTTTTGTTACTTGATTTAACAATTAGGATATTAATATCCAATTATTCTACATTAAGACATGTTCATATAACTTCCATTTAATTAGATTTGTGTTTTCTCAATCACTTTTGTTCACAATGAATGTTCTCCTCTCATCTGTGCAGGCTCAGTGGAGGACTTTGTTCACCTTGAGGGCTTACCAACGCCTCAGATATTACACCATTATAGTCCAAGCACAGTGGAGAATGAGGAGGGCAGCTGCTGCGTATGAAAAAACCTACTGGGCAGCCACAGTCATCCAGAAACACTCTCGAGCCACAGCGCTCTCAAGAAGAGATCGGGAAAGGTATCTCCTCCTGAAGGCGTCTGTGGTGAAAATACAGCGAGCTTTCAGGAGGTGGAAAGCCCAGAAAGTACGAAAGCAAAACCGCGCCGCCGCGGTGATACAAGCTGCTTTTAAGAAGTGGTTCAAGGCCCAAACGGCAGAAAAAGCTGCTGCTGCTGTGGCAATCCAAGCTTGGTACCGAATGCAGCTTTGTTTCTGCCGGTACAACAAGATGAGGAGAAGCGCCCTGCTTATTCAGGCTCACTTCAGAGGCCACGAACAGAGGCGCCGTTTTCAGACGCTAAAGCTGCGGCGAAACTCTGCACTTGTTATCCAGAGTGCCTTCAGAGGTCACACGGTCAGAAAGGAGTTTTTGAAGTTGAGATGTGCTGCCGTGATCATCCAGCGGCGGTGGAGGGCCTCCACGAGGCGAGACGCGCAGAGAGAAGCGTTTGTTCGAATCCGATGCGCTGCTGTTAAAATACAGGCTGCTTATAGAGGACAGGCGGCCCGAGAGCTGCTGAGGAAGCAGCACAAGGCGGCAACAGCGATCCAGGCAGCGTTTAGGAGCCACGCGGCCCAAAAGCGTTATCTCGTCGTGAGAAAAGCTGCAGGTTTGATACAGCAGAGGTACAGAGCTAGAGCTCTGGCTCTAAAGGCAAAGAAGGAATACGATGCGGTAAGGAGGGCTGCTATCGTTTTACAAGCCAGCTGGAGAGGCAGAACAGACAGGAAGAAAGTGGGAATGTGGCATCAGAGGGCGACGCTGATACAGACTTGTTTCCGTCGACACAAAGCACAGACCGAGTACAGGTGCAAGAAGGCAGCAGCTGTAGTCATACAACGTCGGTACAAGGCGTTTTTGGTAGGAAAGGAAACGAGAAGCGTCTATATCCAGCAGAGAAGAGCTTTCATCGCCCTCCAAGCTGGGTTTAGAGGAATGAGAGTAAGAACAGAGTTAAGAAAGAAGCACCAGGCTGCAACGATCATTCAGTCTGTGGTTAGAATGTTTTTATGTAGGAAACGATATGTTCTCCTCCAGAGTGCCGCAATCATCATCCAGTGTAGATACAGAGCGCTTCTCCTAGGTAGAGAGCAGCGGAGTGAGTTCAGGAATGTAAAGCGGGCCGCCATAAACATACAAGCTGCGCTTCGTGGATTTAGAGTCAGGACGGACCTGAAGAAGAGGCACGATGCTGCCAGAATGATCCAAGCTCAGTTCAGGATGTACAGGATTCGTAGGGCTTACCTGGCTACCAGGTGTGCTGTTTTGACCATTCAGGAGCGCTACAGGGCTAACGTTCTCCGGGATGAACTGATGCAGGCATATAAGATCAAAAGAGCTGCGGCGGTGGTGATCCAGGCTGCATACCGTGGGCACAGGGCCAGAAGAAGGGTCACAGAGATGCACCAAGCTGCAAGAATCATTCAGAGGAAGTTCTTGGCCACCCGAGCTAGAACGCAGTTCCTAGCCATCAGGGCAGCAGCGCTGGTCTGTCAGCAGAGGTACAGAGCAGCTCTCCTGGCGAGAAAAGTTAAACTGGATTACGTGTCAAAGCGCAGGGCTGTAGTTTGTCTGCAGGCTGCCTACAGAGGCTATGCGGTCAGGAAGCAGCTGCTCAAATGGCAAAGGGCAGCTGTAGCCATTCAGTCTCATTTTAGAAAACACCAACAGAGATCCAGCTACAAGAAGCTCCTCTGGGCTTGCAGCGTATTGCAAACACGTTACCGAGCAAACAAACAGATGAGAGCTGAGGTTCAAGCCCTGTGTGCCAAGAGAAATGCTACTGTTGTTTTACAAGCTGCCTACCGCGGGATGAAGTCGAGACAGAGGATAAAACAACATCAAAATGCAGCCTGTGTCATTCAGGCAGCTTTCAGAGCCTGCTGCGAACGCAGACGCTATCTGGCCTTAAGATCCTGCGTCATCAAACTTCAGCTCAGATATCGGGCCAATGCTGCTGCTAAAACACAAATAAAACAATATAAACAAATCCGGAGAGCAACTGTCACTCTTCAGGCAGCGTTCAGAGGGCTTCGAGTCAGAAGGGACGTTGCTGGCTGGCATCGGGCTGCAACTGTGATCCAGTCTGCGTTCAGGCGGCACAGAGCGCAAGTCAAGTACCAGGCATTGCGTCTGTCCACCATCATCATCCAGAGACGTTACCGGGCTCTTCTTCTTCAACAACACGACAGAGAAACGTTCCTGGAAACCAAACGATGTGCTGTTGTCCTTCAGGCGGCTTTCAGGGGGAGTCGTGTTCGAAAAGACATAGCCAAGATGCACAAAGCTGCTTCCATCATTCAAGCAAGTTTCAGACAACACAGGCAGCAGACAGCCTTCAGACAGCAACGCTGGGCGGCGCACATCTTACAGCAGAGGTTCAGAGCTCAGAGACGGAAACACCTGGAGGTAAAACGATACCAAGAGGTTAGGAAAGCAGCAGCTGTTCTCCAGGCTGCATATCGTGGAATGAAGGCCAGACAAATGGTCCAACAAAGGCACCGGGCTGCTGGGGTAATCCAGAGGGCTTTCAAAGCTCACCGCCAACGCAGGAAGTACAGCACCCTAAAATCCTCTGCTCTCACCATTCAAAAAAGATACCGGGCCACTGTGACCGCAAAGAAGCAAATGCAACAATATAAACGCATACGCAGTGCAGCAGTTATCGTTCAGGCAGCGTACAGAGGGCTTCGAGTCAGAAGGGACGTTGCTGGCTGGCATCGGGCTGCAACTGTGATCCAGTCTGCTTTCAGGCGGCACAGAGAGCAAGTCAAGTACCGGGCAATGCGTCTGTCCACCGTCCTCATCCAGAGGCGTTACCGGGCCTGTGTCCTGCAGAGGAGAGACAGGGACCACTTCCTGAAAACAAAACAGTCTGTGGTCATCCTTCAGGCAGCTTTCAGAGGATATCGTGTCAGGATGGAAACTGCAAAGATGCACAGAGCGGCTTCTGTCATTCAAGCAAACTTCAGAAGATACAAACAGCAGACGACCTTTATAAAGCAGCTCTGGGCAGCAAGAGTTCTACAGCAGAGATTTAGGGCTCAGAAACGTAAAAACCACGAGGCAAAACGTTATCAGGAGCTCAGAAAAGCTGCCGTCATCTTACAAGCTGCCTGTCGAGGAATGAAGTCCAGAAAAATCATCAAACAAAAGCATCAAGCAGCCAGCATCATCCAGATAGCTTTCAGGGCCCATTGTGAACACAAGGAATTCCTCACCCTGAAGTCCTCTGTCCTTAGTGTTCAGCGTAGATATCGAGCCACTGTGGCAACAAACAAACAAAGAAGGCAATATAAACAAATGCAAAGAGCAACAATTGCCCTTCAGGCAGCGTACCGAGGGCTTCGAGTCAGAAGGGAGGTTTCTGGCTGGCATCGGGCTGCAACTGTGATCCAGTCTGCGTTCAGGCGGCACAGAGAGCAAGTCAAGTACCAGGCAATGCGTCTGTCCACCATCATCATCCAGAGACGTTACCGGGCTCTTCTTCTTCAACAACACGACAGAGAAACGTTCCTGAAAACCAAACGATGTGCTGTTGTCCTTCAGGCAGCTTTCAGGGGGAGTCGTGTTCGAAAAGACATAGCCAAGATGCACAAAGCTGCTTCCATCATTCAAGCAAAATTCAGACAACACAGGCAGCAGACAGCCTTCAGACAGCAACGCTGGGCGGCGCGCATCTTACAGCAGAGGTTCAGAGCTCAGAGACGGAAACAACTGGAGGTAAAACGATACCAAGAGGTTAGGAAAGCAGCAGCTGTTCTCCAGGCTGCATATCGTGGAATGAAGGCCAGACAAATGGTCCAACAAAGGCACCGGGCTGCTGGGGTAATCCAGAGGGCTTTCAAAGCTCACCGCCAACGCAGGAAGTACAGCACCCTAAAATCCTCTGCTCTCACCATTCAAAAAAGATACCGGGCCACTGTGACCGCAAAGAAGCAAATGCAACAATATAAACGCATACGCAGTGCAGCAGTTATCGTTCAGGCAGCGTACAGAGGGCTTCGAGTCAGAAGGGACGTTGCTGGCTGGCATCGGGCTGCAACTGTGATCCAGTCTGCTTTCAGGCGGCACAGAGAGCAAGTCAAGTACCGGGCAATGCGTCTGTCCACCGTCCTCATCCAGAGGCGTTACCGGGCCTGTGTCCTGCAGAGGAGAAACAGGGACCACTTCCTAAAAACAAAACAGTCTGTGGTCATCCTTCAGGCAGCTTTCAGAGGATATCGTGTCAGGATGGAAACTGCAAAGATGCACAGAGCGGCTTCTGTCATTCAAGCGAACTTCAGAAGATACAAACAGCAGACGACCTTTATTAAGCAGCTCTGGGCAGCAAGAGTTCTACAGCAGAGATTTAGGGCTCAGAAGTGTAAAAACCACGAGGCAAAACGTTATCAGGAGCTCAGAAAAGCTGCCGTCATCTTACAAGCTGCCTGTCGAGGAATGAAGTCCAGAAAAATCATCAACCAAAAGCATCAAGCAGCCAGCATCATCCAGAGGTTTTTCAGAGGCCACCATGACCGACAACAGTATTTGAAAGTAAAAACATCCATTGTTACAATTCAGCAACGGTATCGAGCCACCATACAAGCAAGAGCGGAGAGAAACCGATACATCCGACAGCAGCAGGCTGCCGTCACGCTGCAGAGATTCTGCAGAGCCTGGAGTGCCAGACAGCAGGTAATAATTCAATTAAAAAATACGTAATGGTTTAAATTTACAATGTTATTTAATGAGCCATAAGACATAGGATTCCATAGGAAATATGAAATCAACCTTATGGATCTGTGGGTACTGTTTAACCAGAAGATTGGAACTTTTTATTGCAGGGCTTAGATAACAGCTTCGTATTAACTCGGAGACAACAGAAGAGAGAGTCAGATTTAAAAGTTTAAAGATTTATTACTAAACAAATTAAAACTAGACCAACTTTAACACTAAATGTATGGTGTAACTAAGGTGAATGAGATGGAGAATGGTGTAATGTGGAATGTTGCTCAGAACCAGCAAATCTGAAGAAGCGATTCGTTCTGGTGGGAAGTGAAGGTGATGTCTTCACGCTAAGCTTTGGTTAGGAGATTCATAAACACATTCGACGCCATTTTGTCGGCCTACATACCCTGGTGGAAGTCCTCGTTAGATCAGGAATGTCGAGGTCCAACTGGACCCTCTCTGGAACCAAAAGCCGGTAGGAAAAACAGCGGTTACTGACCAGACCAGTTTTTGAGATACTTCCGGGTCACGACGGTTTTGTTGGCATCTAGCGAGACCCAAACCTGGGTCGTGATGGTTCAGCTTTTATTCTGAAAGGAATCGTTGCAGCAGTTGGAACAGCAACAGATTTTATCCAGCTTGTCGTTGGTTCTTTTGGCTGAAGAGGAAAGTTACGGATTGGCCACTCCGTCAACTTCTCTAGAACGCTTTGAACTGGCGTTAAAGATGATGTGCGCATAGTTTTATACTTCGGATGTTTTGGTTTATGGTCGAATGAAAAGATGACTTCTTGAGGACCTAAGCGTCCTCAAGAAGTGCAGTCTGCTGTGTCCCTTCTTGTAAACGGCTTCGCTGTTCTTTCTCCATTCCAGTCTGTTGTCCAGGTGAACTCAAAGCTATTTATATTCCTCAACCACCTCCACTTCTCCCATGATGGAAACAGTGTTTGACTCCACCCTGTTTCTTCTGAAGTCTAAAATCATCTCCTTTGTTTTGTTCACGTTCAAGATCAGATGATTGTTTCCACACCATTCCACAAAGCGCTCCACCAGCTCTCTGTACTCTGCTTCCTGTCCATCTCTGATACACCTGACAACTGCAGAGTCATCTGAGTATTTCTGTAGATGACAGGTCTTTGATATGTACTGGAAGTCTGAGGTGTACAAGGTGAAAAGGAATGGTGAGAGTACAGTCCCCTGTGGTACGCCAATGTTACTGATCGCCTGGTATGATGTGCAGTTCTTCAGCCTCACAAACTGTGGTCTGTTTGTCAGGTAGTCTTTAATCCAGGTGATAGTTGAGGTCCCCACCCGCGTCTTCTGGAATTTCTGGAAAAGTACAGCAGGCTGAATTGTGTTAAATGCACTGGAGAAGTCAAAGAACATGACCCTCACAGTGCTGCCTGCTTTGTCCAGATGACAGTGGATTGGTTGAAACAGCTGGATGATGGCATCTTCAACTCCAACTCCATGGCAATAAGCAAACTGCAACGGGTCCTGATATGTCCTAGTTCGCTTATTCAGGTGGACCAACAGGAGTCTCTCCAGGACATTCATGATGTGGGATGTCAGAGCAAGCGGTCTGTAGTCGTCATTGACTGATGGGCGAGTTTTCTTTGGAACTGGAGCGAGGCAGGAGGTCTTCACCAGGACTGGAACCTTCTCCTGGGACAGGCTGAGGTTGAAGAGGTGCTGCAGAATCCCACAGAGCTGCTCTGCACAGAACTTCAGTACTCTGGGGCTGACACCATCTGGAGCTGCAGCCTTGTTCCTCTTCAGTCTCTCCAGCTGCCTCTTCACCTGACTTCTAGAGACAGATAGGTGGGAGGGGGATGTAACTGGGGCAGCAGCATCTCCTGACTTGGTTGAAGACAGATTTATGGAACCAGAAGAGTCCATGACTGCGTTAGAGGACAAAAGAGCTGGCGTGTGACAGGAAAATGTTGGGTCAGAGGAGGATGGGAAGTCTGATTGGCTGGGGACATGCGAGGAGGATGCTGGGTTTGTTCCTGAACTGAACCTATTAAAGAACTTGCTCAGCTCATTGGCTGTGTCCAGGCTGCCATCTGTGCAATCCTTCCTCTGCTTGAAGCCTGTGATCTTCTTCATCCCTGACCAGACATCTGATATTTTTCCTCTGTAGTTTGTTCTCCAGCTTCTTCCTGTATGCCTCCTTGCTGTCTCTGATCTTGATCTTCAGTTGCTTCTGTATACTCATCAATGATTTCCTGTCTCCCTCCTTGAAGGCTCTTTTTTTCTCATTTAGCAGATTCTTCAGTTCACTGGTGATCCAGGGTTTGTTATTAGCGAAGCATCTCACTGTTCTGGTGGGTATGATGTTGTCCACACAGAAGTTTATATAGTCAGTGACACATCCAGTCATGGCATTGATGTCCTCTTCATATCCTTGGCAGAGAGTCATCCAATCTGTGGTCTCAAAACAACTCTGCAGGGCTTCTTCAGCGTCCTGTGACCATTTTCTCACAATTCTTCTTGTCACAGGTTGCCTCTGAACAAGTAGTTTGTATTCTGAGCAGAGAAAAACAAGACTGTGATCTGATTGTCCCAGAGGAGGTCTTGTTTTGGACATGTATGCATTCTTTACATTTGTATAACACAAATCCAATGTCTTGTTTTCTCTGGTGGAGCAGCTGACAACACTGTTGAAATGTTGGAAGTGTAGCAGAGAGCGAGATATGATTAAAATCACCTGATATAGCCACAAATGCATTGGGGTGCTGGGTTTGTAGCTTGGTGACAATGGAACTGATAGCATCACATGCATTTTCAGCACTGGCTGAAGGTGGAATATAAACAGTTGCCAAGACAACACTGGTGAACTCTCTTGGCAAATAATGTGGGCGACAACTTACTGCCAAGAGTTCAACATCTGGGCTGCAGAGACGAAATTTCACTGAAACATGACCTGGACGACACCACCTGTTGTTGACAAGCACTGCCACTCCACCTCCTTTTCTTTTCCCACTCCTCTTCAGATCTCTGTCTGCTCGTACAATCACCCCCAAATTCCACTACCTCCGCTCCGGTCCGCCCCCGCCTTCCGCAGCCGCTCGCTTCCGAACTCCATTTTTACTGGTACCCGCTCTACAACGGCTCCGCTCCGGTGCAGAGACCTGAGGTGGGCAAACAAGCATGCGGGGGATTTTCGAGATCTTGCGATACAGTCCGAGCAATAAACGCGGAAGTTAGATCCATACACCCGTTGTGTGGAAGAAGCATCGGCATGAACTGTTTAATCTTCCCATCATTTGTGTTGAGAGATCAGCAGTGTTTGGATCAACAAAGAGTGACTACTTTGATAGTAGAAACTGTATTTATGGCTTACTTTTGTGCATTTAAACTTCAGCCACCACTGATAGTTGTTAAAAGTTGTTAAACCTGTGCATATGAAACAAAAAACGCCTTTTGTTTATCGATTTATTGTGAAAAACGGAAGTTGTGCTCGCTCTTTTTCCTGTTGGGCGTTTGTGATTTCTGTCCATTTACTGCGGAGGTGCTCCAGCGTCCGGCAAAAGTAGGATCGATTCTATTTTTGCCGGACGCTGTAACAGAGGGCGGCGCACGGCGCCGCACTGCCGGAGCACGGCCGCAGTAGTGGAATTGCTCTGATTGACTAGAACGGGACCGATTTTGCTCCGGCGTTCGTGTCGGAGCAGAGCGGAGGTAGTGGAATTTGGGGGTCAGGAATCCTGGCAGAGAGACGCTGGAATCAGGGATATGGTCCTGCAGCTACGTCTCATTGAAACACATAACACTGCACTGCCGATATTCTGGCTGAGTCCTTGAAAGGGCTTGGAGTTCATCCATTTTGTTGGCCAGTGATCTCACATTGCCCGTTATGATCGATGGAAGAGTTGGTTTGAATTTCCTCTTTCTCTGTCTCCGTTTTGCTCCCGCTCTGCACCCTCGCTTCTTGCGTTTTAGCTCAGTTGGGATTTGTGGCTTCAGTTGAGGTATTATTTCAGCCTTTCCAGTGTTAATCAGCGGCTCCTGATTGTAATCCAGCTTGTTGCCATGGTTACACATCATAACAAATGCTCAAAAACTGGAAAAAAGTAGCAGTTAAAATCCTCTAAGTTCACAGATTGTAACAAGTAACTAAAAATAATCCAAAAATTTGCAAAAAGCTGAAACAATCTTGTGTTTTAAATTCTTTGTCAATATGGTTTAGGTCCTAAAGGCGGCTCATGCAGAAAGGAGGCTTCGGTTCACATCTGCGGTTTTTCATCATCTCCGTGCAATAAAGATTCAACGTGCTCTGAGGGCTCACTGGGCTTTGGAATCGGCCAAAAAACAGATCCGCTCTGTCATCATCATACAGGTAGATCAACAAAGAAGACTCAAACGTGGGTGAAGAGTGTGACAGTCGTCTTAAAGACTCCCATTTTGTTTTGTAGCGGTGGGTGAGAGCCATGCAGCAGAGGAGACGGTTTCAGGAGGACAGGAGGAAGGTGATCACAGCCCAGAGAGCAGTTAGGTCTTGGCTTGCTCGCCGCCACAAGGCTGCCTCTGTCCTCCAGCAGGCTGTTCGGAAACTCCTCTTCATCAGGCGCCGGCAGAGGGTTCTGCGGGGCATTACTAAAGCTCAGGTGTGGTGATCTGTTTCCTGGCTTGTGTTTAGTTTCACTCCATCACAGATAAAAAAAAGCAAAAATAACTTTGACCGTATAACATCTAAATGTTTTCTGGCTTTTGCGTGAATTCCTCTAGGCTCTGTGGAGAGGACACCGCTCCCGCCAACTGAATGACGACATGAAGTTGTCGAAGCTGAGGCTCCGCTTACGGAAAGTCTCTGCTGATGTTCAAGAGGAGGACAAACTCTGCAACAAGACCACATTCGCTCTGGAGTATCTCCTACGATACAAACACTTCTCATATATTATACAGGCCCTGAAAAACCTGGGTAAGACTTGAAACTAATGGATCTACAGAGGAAAAATGTGTAAAGATTTGGTAAATGTGTAAAAGTGCAGTTTTCTGTAGTGGCCTGTAGGGGGCACTTTTAAATCAAGATGATCCTTTAGTCTCAGCTGTGACGTCGACCCCCACAAGAGTACGGGAAATGAGAAGAGAATAAAAGTTCCTCTGTTTGTGGTTTTGTGTGGAAATGTCCGAGTTTTATATGCATGTTTAAGAGCTGGTGTGGTGTGTGCAGAGACTGCCACCAGGCTTTCACCAGTGTGCTGTGAGCGGTTGGTGGAGAGCGGGGCCATAAACGTCATCTTCACACAGATCCGCTGCTGCAACAGGAGCCTCCCCTGCATGGAGGTCATCACCCTCTCTGTCCAGATCCTCCTCAACCTCTCCAAGGTAGATGTCAGGAGCAAAGTTCATCACAAAATCACGTTCCTGGTTCAGTTAGAGCATCTCTGGAGATTAGCTCAAAGGTGAAGTTCCTGTTCAAAGCAGACGGATTGTGTAAGAGGTTAGAGAGCCAGATTTATTTAGAAGTTTGTTTCTCTTCTGCAAACTGGAATCAGACGGAGTCATCGTGTCTGGTAACCTTTAGTGGACTTGTGGAGGTTGACCTTTCCTGAAGTTCAGCTGGAGGCTCAGTCACAACACTAAATTATGTTAAAACAGAGATTGTGTCATGAGGGAAAAACCAAAACTAATTTAATTTCATTCACAGTGCCTAAAGCCTGGTTCATGCTTCTCCGTCAGCTCCGCAAGGGACAGACACGCACGGATTGACAGAAGCGTTTTGCTCTCATACTTCTCCGTCTCCTGGAGAGTGTTGCAAAGCAATTGCCCGGCAGGACAACAGAGGGCATAGCGCTGTTCTGTGGTATCCTGTCACGTATCGGTCCAAGATCGTGTGTTTATATTGTGTTTTTTGTGTACAGGTGCTGGCCAGTAAATTAGAATATCATCAAAAGGTTGAAAATATTTCAGTAATTCCATTCAAAACGTGAAACTTGTACATTATATTCATGCAATGCACACAGACCAATGTATTTCCGATGTTTATTACGTTTAATTTTGATATTTATAGGTGACAACCAATGAAAACATCAAATCTGGTATCTCAGAAAATTAGAATATTCTAAAGGCCAATGAAAAAATGTTTGTTTCTCTAATGTTGGCCAACTGAAAAGAATGAACATGAAAAGAATGTGCATGTATAGCACTCAATACTTAGTCGGGGCTCCTTTTGCCTCAATAACTGCAGTAATGCGGCGTGGCATGGACTCGATCAGTCTGTGGCACTGCTCAGGTGTTATGAGAGCCCAGGTTGCTCTGATAGTCGTCTTCAGCTCCTCTGCATTGTTGGGTCTAGCGTATTGCATCCTCCGCTTCACAATACCCCATAGATTTTCTATGGGGTTAAGGTCAGGCGAGTTTGCTGGCCAATCAAGGACAGGGATACCATGGTCCTTGAACCAGGTGCTGGTGGTTTTGGCACTGTGTGCAGGTGCCAAGTCCTGTTGAAAGGTGAAGTCTGCATCCCCATAAAGTTGGTCAGCAGCAGGAAGCATGAAGTGCTCTAAAACTTCCTGGTAGACGGCTGCATTGACCCTGGACCTCAGGAAACAGAGTAGGCCAACACCGGCAGATGACATGGCACCCCACACCATCACTGACGGTGGAAACTTTACACTGGACCTCATGCAACGTGGATTCTGTGCTTCTCCGCTCTTCCTCCAGACTCTGGGTCCTTGATTTCCAAAGGAAATGCAGAACTTGCTTTCATCAGAAAACATAACTTTGGACCACTCAGCATCAGTCCAGTCCTTTTTGTCCTTGGCCCAGGCGAGACGCTTCTTGCGCTGTTTCTTGTTCAAGAGTGGCTTGACACACGGAATGCGACACCTGAATCCCATGTCTTTCATGAGTCTCCTCGTGGTGGTTCTTGAAGCGCTGACTCCAGCTGCAGTCCACTCTTTGTGGATCTCCCCCACATTTTTGAATGGGTTTGTCGTCACAATTCTCTGCAGGGTGCGGTTATCCCTAGAGCTTGTACACTTTTTTCTACCACATTTTTTCCGTCCCTTCGCCTGTCTGTTAATGTGCTTGGACACAGAGCTCTGCGAACAGCCAGCTTCTTTAGCAATCACCTTTTGTGTCTTGCCCTCCTTGTGCAAGGTGTCAATGATTGTCTTTTGGACAGCTGTTAAGTCAGAAGTCTTCCCCATGATTGTGGTGCCTTCAAAACAAGACTGAGGGACCTTTTAAAGGCCTTTGCAGGTGTTTTGAGTAAATCAGCTGATTAGAGTGGCAGCAGGTGTCTTCTATATTCAGCCTTTTCAGAATATTCTAATTTTTTGAGATACCAAATTTGGAGTTTTCATTAGTTGTCACTTATGAATATCAAATTTAAATGTAATGAACATTGGAAATACATTGGTCTGTGTGCATTGCATGAATATAATGTACAAGTTTCACGTTTTGAATGGAATTACTGAAATATTTTCAACCTTTTGATGATATTCTAATTTACTGGCCAGCACCTGTATATAAGAGACTTTTTAACACGGACATATTTGTCTCTCATTCTCCCACCGCTTCATGCGCTGCCCACCTCTAAACCCACGTTTCCTGTCATTTCCGTCCACAAATAAAACGCTTGCTGCGCATCTTTTCACTCCTCCAGTCACGGGAGGATGAAACGTTTATATTTTTAGAGTTTTTTCGCGAGGTATTCTTCAAGCTTCTCCGTGTCTGCCGCTAGTTATCCTCGGCTCTCTTTGCAATGGCGGCGCTGTAAACAACAGCGGTGTCCTGACCAATCACAAACTTGCATAATCTGTCTCGTTCAACGTATGTTTAAAAAAAGTGGGCTCGACTCCGTACGTACTTGCATGCCTGCCGGAGCGCTACGCAAGGACGGATAATGGCGTTGCGTGTCTCCGCACTGACGCAGACGGAGAAGCATAAATCAGGCTTAAAAGGTTTCGTTTTCTTTCTTTCTTGCAGCCTAAACATGTGCTGAAAACATTTATTATGCTTTCATGTCAAATTTAACACACCAACATGTTCTTTACACTTGTTCTATTCACATTCTGCCCCTGGGCAGCAGTAGCTCAGGAGGTACAGCAGGTTGTCCAGTCATCAGAAGGTTGCAGGTTCGATCCTGGCACCCACCTTGCCTGCTGGTGGTGGTCGGAGGGAGTCCGACAGTGTCACTCAGGGCAGATGTGGCTATGTTGTAGCTCATCATCACCAGTGTGCGAATGTGTGTGTGACTGATTGTGTTGTGAAGCGCCTTGGGGGGCTGTAGAACCCTAAGTAGGCGCTGTGCAAACACCGGCCATTTACATTTGAATTAAAGCAACCGAGTGATAAAAATGACTATTTTCTCCATTCCTTCTCCAGTACCACAAGACCGTAGAGGCAGTGTACTCGGTGGAAAACTCTGTGGAAACGCTGCTTGATTTGCTGCAGAGGTACAGGGACAAGGCCGGGGATAAAGTGGCTGAAAAGGGGGGGAGCATTTTTACCAAAACCTGCTTCCTCATCGCTCTCCTGCTGCAGGACCCCCACCGAGTCGAGGTAAGCCGCCGCCGCCGCTGCTGCTGCTGCTGCTGCACACCCATCGGAAAGTTCACCGAGTTCCAAAAACTAAACCTCCTCTGTGTTCTCAGGAGGTGAAGAAGATCCCTCATGCTTTGGACAGATTGTGCAGCATCTATAAGCTGACTGCTCGCAAACACAAACTGGATGCAGAGAGAAACATCGTCAAGCTGAAAATGAACGCGTCCGTTAACGGGAGCGTTTTGGCGACGCCTCGGAAGTCTCCGCCTGTACCAAAGTACGTGTTTATGTACACACACGCTTCTGTATTAATACAAAACCCCTTAAGATGCTGAATACTTGAAGTAACTTGTTTATTTTGTTGTGTTTTCAGATTCTCACCAGACTGGGTTCTGACGAGAAACAACCTGAAAGAAATTGTGCATCCTCTGAGAGCGATACAGATGGTGGCAGACACACTTTCTATTGTTTTGTAAATACATTTTGTTTGTTCTGTTTGTAGATTTAAAGTTTTTTTCTTACTGAACAATTTGAAATTGTTTTGTTTTATTCAAAATTTCTTTTGTTGGTTTTTATGCAATAAACAGGAGAAATCCACATTAAATCGCTCAGCATTTTCCATTGTGCTGCTCAGTGAAACAACACTCATGCTGAGAAACACCGAAAATGTCTTCTTCATGTATTGTTTGACCTCCAGCCCACACAAGCTGCACAGAGCAGGAACCGACGTTTGACCAAAGTTAATCATTTCTTTGTTTGTCCGGGCAGTTCCAGTCACTTCCAGTCAGTTTAGGTTTAACCTGCCAACAGGACGGGGTTATCACACACTTCTGGTGTACTTAACCTCCAGTTATTTACACTCATCAGCACACTTTTATTATTTAATCAAAAGGATATTCTACCCAAAAATGAAAATTTTGAATTTAGCCATAAAGTCTAAAATGGCACATGTGATTTCTTTGTTACTAATTATTTTCACTTGTCAGTCTGATTATTTAGGTCACCAGGCAGAATTGGGATCACTACTGAGTGATTTTAAGGTCGTTTTTACTCTCAATGCTACTTATGCTAAGCTAATTGTAAGTAAGTACACTTTATTTATATAGCACTCATCACAGACAGAATCACAAAGTGCTTCATTCACATAGATCAAAAACGGAACAAATCATGACGTCATAAAATTTTAAAGTGCTATAAAACAAATGAAAGATGATTACAAATTCAAGTAAAAAAAATAGGCGTGATGTGAGATCATCCATTTTGCTCCATTTGAAAGCTTCGCTGCAGACTTCTGGACCAACTTATGGCTGTCGAGCGCTTTTTTTTTTGTTTGAACACAAGAGCAGCCGGGTCAGGAGATTGATTGGGCTGGTTACAGATTGCCCCCCCCCACCCACCCACCCACACTTATTTAACACTGGTAAATGTGTCAAAAGACAAACTTTCAGATTTGGGTGGAATATGCCTTTGAAGCTACCTAATTCACCATGATTTGACTTGAATAAATCTGCACAAAGAGTCTCACAGAAAAGGGGGTCCTACCATATCAAAAAACTCGAGCAATGTGCAGGTGTACAGATCAAGCTTGATGCAGCGTACTTGTAAATAGTTTTTAACTTGTACTCAGGAAATACTCTACAGATCAACAGCAACATTTCACTGGGCACTTTAGTGACAAGTCGTCTCACGGATGAGCTCAGTGATGTGTCCAACACAGCTTGGACCTACCTGCTTAAACCATCACTCACACAGGCAAGGCCGGATTATAATATGGGCAAACTGGGCACAGGCCCAGGGGCCCACAGCCACAAGGGGGCCCACGCAAGCAGCAGTCTTTTTTTTTTTTTTTTTTTTTTTTTTTGTGCAGCAGTCTTAACGTTAGAGAAACATGTTGACAAGTAATTAAAATTGCACCCACATTTTGTAAGTTAACACATTTCTTTTAACAACACTAGTTTTTGCATCTTTACTGTTCCCCAGCTGCTTCAGCTCTCTCCCCCCTCCCCCTGCGCAGCGGCCGCAAACTCACTGATGCGTCTGCAGCCTCTCAGAGTTCTGCTGATCTAAACATTGAAAGAATTATTTAATTTTCTGTTCCTCACTTCTGATTACCTTCAGTGGTGTCTGTTTGTTGCAACCACCAGGTACAAAAACAAACTTGTTTTTATTTGGCTATTTTTCTGTCCTGCCTGTTTATTATCTTCCTGCATCTCCTCTCAATCCTAAAGAAAAACTGCTACCTGGGTTCATATATATTCACCTTATGAGTTACCTTTGAACTGCAGTTCTAAAAGATCTACCGACCACAAATATAGTGGAGTGCGCACCGGCCGCTCTGGTGAGGTGAAGTCACCGGAGGACGAAACCGGTTATGCGCTCCACTCTGCAGCAGTAAAACACATCAGGCACAAATAAAAGACAGAACATATAAAAGGATATGAGCCGACATGAACGAATCGCGTGTTAAGTTTGTTTTTGAGGCGGCGACACTTTGAGAATGTTACTGTGGCCGTGCTCAGGACGCATCTGTCTGGAGCGCGTCAACGATCAGAGCTCTGCGCCTCTCAGCTCTAAATAATCCCAGCAGAGTCTACATGAATTATGTAATATAGAACCATGATCGTTTTTGGGCTAAAAAATGGTCTACAGTCCATCTTCCCTCATGTGTTTGTGTGGCCCTGCGGATTTTTCTAACTACCTGCACATACAGTGGGGCAAAAAAGTATTTAGTCAGCCACCGATTGTGCAAGTTCTCCCACTTAAAATGATGACAGAGGTCAGTAATTTACATCATAGGTACACTTCAACTGTGAGAGACAGAATGTGAAAAAAAATCCATGAATTCACATGGCAGGATTTTTAAAGAATTTATTTGTAAATCGGGGTGGAAAATAAGTATTTGGCCTGCTCTTGTATTGTAGTGTATTAATGGTGATTATCGTGTTTCTTCAGGTTAATTATGTATTTTTGAGTTGAAATAAGAAGGCAGCCACTTTATTATTAATTGTGTGTGAATGTCTTAATCTGACAGATTGGGGTGAGGTTTAATATGTTTTTGTTCTCACTCCATTTTGATCATTTTTGTTAAATTTAGACCCAACTGTGCTGATATCTTAGTTTTGTAATTTCTGTTAATTGTTTATTTTACGGCACATTACTGGCTCAAAATAAAATGAAATAAATGAATGAGTAGGGGTAGGAGACTATTTTCTTGTAGAACATTTGCAGAGGAACCTTTTATGTAACCTTTTAAAACATAATTTTTTATTTAAAATAAACACAAATTTGCCTAATTGTCAGTAAAAATTAAATTCTGTCATTTAAAATAAAATTATTCTTGAGGAGGAGTGAGCACCACCTCACATCTGCCACATGGAAGAGAAAAACCACCCTGCTCAACAGTATCCTGTCACGTAGAGGTCACTTGAAAAGAAAGCGAGAGGGTTAAACAGCACTGCAAAATAGAACGAATTTGAAGAAGTTTTTTGAGAAAAGTGCAACAATTTCATTTGAAATCGCATGAAAAACATTCTTTACATAAAAGTTGAGCATGACCAAAAACACAATTCATGAGCAATATAAACTGGGACAATAAAAAGAAGCAAGTTCAATTCAGTTTATTTATATAACACCAAATCACGACGAGAGTCGTCTCAAGGCACGTCACATAGTAAACATTCCAACACAGATCAATTCATTAAGCCAATCAGAAAAAAGTTTCCTAAATAAGGAACCCAGCAGGTTGCATCAAGTCACTGACTAGTGTTAGTGACTTTACAGCAATCCTCATACTAAGCAAGCATGTAGCGACAGCGGAGAGGAAAACTTCCTTTTAACAGGAAGAAACCTCCAGAGGATCCTGTTGGTCATTTGTGTCATTTTCTTTTGACGGAACAAATTGTACAGACAATTTAAAAAAACTTGAAACATGCAGGAATAGAGGAGTAAATATGTTCTTTAACATGAATGATCTGAAATATTTCTGAAATATATTAAGAGGGCAACAGTGGCACAGGAGTTAAGTGCTCGCCCGGAAGGTTGCAGGTTCGAGCCCTGCTCAGTCTGTTGCTGTCATTGTGTCTTTGGGCAAGACATTTAACCCCCCTTGCCTGCTGGTGGTGGTCGGAGGGACTGGTGGCACCAGTGCTTGGCAGCCTCGCCTCTGTTAGTGCGCCCCAGGGCAGCTGTGGCTACATCATAGCTCACCACCACCAGTGTGTGAATGTGTGCGTGAATGGGTGAATGACTGATTGTGTTGTAAAGCGCCTTGAGGGGTTCCAGGACTCTAGAAGGTGCTATATCAAATACAGGCCATTTACCAGATGTCTATTGTTGCTTTATGAGCAGAAACTACCCATGAATACCCCTCCTTACTACCCCATGATGATTCTTTGTGTTGATTAGATGCATGAGGGTGTGCCCCCCCCCCCCCCATTTAGTGTAGGTTTTCTCTTTTTGACATAGACAGCTTTCTTTGCTCCTCTCAAGACATCTGTCCTCTCTGTCTAGAATGTGTACTTTGTCACCTTCAAAAGTGTCCCTTGTCCTTCATGTGTAAGTGGACTGCAGATTCTTGACCTGAAGAGGTGGCTCTCTTGCTCTTTTGAATCTTTTCCCAAACAGTTTCAGTCTAGGTCACACCTTCATACAGTTGAGTGTCTACTCAATACAACTCCCTCACAATAGAAGCCAAAGACTCATCAGGGAGGAAGTAGGAGGGGTATTCATATGTAGTTTCTGCTCGTTAAGCAGCTACAGCTTATACGCTTGACCCTCCTAGCCTGGGAAGCCAGACTAAATGATATATTTATTTAATGCTCCATTGACGGTTCTTTTTGGTGGGGTGGGTTCTACTATTGTCTCACAGACGATCTCCACATGCTACTGGACAATGAACAACATGATGTACTCACCATGTTAGTGTTTTATTCTTTTCATTCTTTTTTATTGAAAATTGTTTGCAATTTTAATCTTTTTTCTGTTTGATTTATTGTTGATCTCTTTGTATTTTATTTAAATGTACTCTACTTTTTAGAAAGGTTCTATGGACACGTGTTGCAAATTAGCACGTGTGCTAACACACTAAACAATGCATCTGGTTCATCCAATGTAATTGCTGAGTCCATGTCAAATAAACATAACATCATCACCGCAACGGATGTTGATAAACGAGGCAGTTCGCTGTTGAAGAAGGCGAAAATACATCCTTTTTTCTGAATAAAGGACTAAAATACATCCATCTGCTTCTGATTCTAGTAAAGCCCAAGTCCTAGTAGTTCAAAATTGATGTAAAAGCTGTTTCAAATGAGCTGTCGCCATTTTGTTTCACTCTGTTGCATCATCTCGCCCACCAGACGAATAGACAACCCTGATTAGCCCACAAAACGGATAGAATGCTGTGATTGGCTAACCAATGTGGACCAATCAGAGCACTCCATGGGTTTGAAACCCCTATAGAGAACTGTGATTGGCTAGCCAGAATGCTTCTAGGGGCTGCTGAGTGTTCCTAGACCAAACTTTGCAAAACAAGAATTTGGTCTAGTTCACTAGGATATGACCCTCCCATATTCCGAATATTCAGAATTCACAAAGCTCCTTGGATGA